ACTCACCAGTGAGAGGCTTACGCCCATATTTCTCATGGAAAGACGCCAAATCACGAATTCCCATTGTATGGGGAAGAATTGCGCTCACCCACTCGCGAATATCGTCAACTAGCGGGGGAGGTAATCTCTCAGCTGGAAAAGTAAAAACAAGTCCTTAGAAATATCACCTAAAGGAGAACGATCGACGACCACCTTAAGAGGAATCACAAAATAAAACAAAGGAAAACTCACGAGTAAAGTTCCACATCTTTGGAAATCCTGCGGAGTCAGCCACAAGGTGCTCTGTCTGCACATAGAAGTAGCTTTCCCAAAAGTGGTGATTGGCCTTATCGTCCATCTTCACCACCAAACTCTTGGTTTCTCGATGGCGCATATGGATCATTGTACCCCGAAGAAAATTAGGGGCAAAGATGTGAGGCATGTGCCCCAAGGAAATTCCTCGTCCGGCAAGCTCCGCGTACTTGATAAGCATAAGGAAGAGTTTGTACGCGTACAGAGAGAGTTGAGCCGGGCACACTTCTTAGAAGCGGCAGAAGTCTACCACCAGAGAGGGGAGAGGAAGCATGTACCCGATAACAAAGGGGTACACGTAAAATACGCGCAATATCTCGGGCGGTGAAAATGTACAATGTCCTTCCCCACTGCCGGTACCATTTCGATATGAGAGGGGATTCCCCACTTGGCCTTGAGCGCCGCAATCGCTGCCTCATCCATGGTGGAAGGGATAGGCTTCGGTTCATTTCCGGGAGGACTGTTAAAGTCAGTCCTCATCTTCCCGGGGCGGGGTACTATCTCATCCACTGTCGGATATCCCTCGTCTTCCACCACTTCCACTCCCTCTTCAAGAAGGGGCACGTCATTTTTCGGCGGCGGAGCTTCAATGAATCTATCAGTCTGGGAAGAAGTACCATCCATTCGTCTGTCTTGATCGAAACAAACAGGAACAATAAAGGAAAAGAAAGAATGGTCACGTCCAATTCTGGTGAAAGCAGAAGTATGAAAAACTGAAGAAGGTGGCAGTTTGTAAAATTCTCTCAGGTAAATTGGAAAGCATAACAAGCTAATGGGGGATTCCCCCTATTTATTGGTACGCAAATACCCTGAGCAGGAAAACCCGAGAGCCGCCAATTAAAAAACTGAAAGGGCACGGGAAACGATACGGTGCCTAGGAAACGTGTACCATAATGACGCATAACAGGTATTCATGGTACCCTGAACCGACGTAACGACCCAATAAAGTCCTTGAAGCATCATATCTCCACCTCGCCATAAGGACCTCGTCCCTCGAACCATGTCCAGATTTCTCCCAACTCTTGAATCAACGGAATCCGCCCATCGATCTCGCCAAAAGGTGACCTCAACGAGCGGAGGGACTAACTGTATGAGTCAAAATCTGACCACCAGATGGTTATCGTTAAAGGGAATGGTAGGGGTCGACCAAGCCATGGTCGTGCCACGAGGCGTAATGGCGAAGAGTATCTCGGCCACTGCCGAGATCAAGCCATCAGAAGGCTTACACTACAGAATATAACAGTTGGGCGAGTGAGGAGGAATGCAGTCAAGAGAGGGCACGCTGGTTAAGAATCGTTGGGTAGAAAGGGAAATTGACAATATATATAAAGAGGGTAAAGGAGAAAGAAGAGGGAGATCTGGGAATAAGAAAAAGAAACAGAAGACACGGGAGAGACCTCCAAGGAACAAAGGAAGAAGTCCAGATTTTGGGTTACAAACCGTTGTAATCTCCATTGTTGAATCAATAAAGCTATATCTCATAGTTATCAACGAGATTTCTTCCTTATCTTCTTTGCTTTTATAAATATGGAACAATATATTAAAGATGTAAGCTTATTATTACATTTAATGTCTTTCAATCATCCTAAGAAATATTGCATAAACTCAATCTCTTTGATTTTAGTATCCATTATGCTTAGATCTAAAGCCGATTATGTTTGGCTAAGATTTACTCTCTACTTTATCATTAATTGGTTTGACTAAAAGACTTAACTCATTTTGGTCTAACACATATAGTATATGAAAATGGAGAATACTCAATGCCTTACCAGCTTTGCTAAAACCTGGTCGACTTGTTCACTTATTACTCTGTGGAGTTGCTAACAAATTTAATTTTAACTATTAAAGAGCATAAGTGAAACTTTCACTAGCAAAAAAACAAAAACAAAAACAAAATCACTATAACAAAAATTATCCATGGCTATAGTGAGATGAATAAATTACGTCCATCTTTAAGCAGATGTCTCCCGTTAGAATTAGAAAATGTGATTTTTTTTAATAAGGGGTGCGTTCTCCTTTAATGAGCCTAAAGCGATGCAAATTCGAATAACACTGTGTTTGGATCATTGTTTCCATTCGTTTTATAATGTTTTGTATCGTATTATTTTATGAATACAATGTTAGGATAGATTGTATTGTTTGTTATTGTTAAATAATATTTTGCGAATTGGTTTGACTATATCATACTGTACTGTAACTGATAAGATTACTAAAATACTCTCAATTGTTTAAATATTAAATTTATCAACAATGATGCATAAAAATAATTTTAAAAAATAAAATAGAAGAAGGCAAAACACATTGAGAAAGCAGAACAAAGGAGCGGGACAGAAGAAGGCAAAACAAAGGAGCACAGCTAATTAGAATTGAGTTTAAAGCAAATTAGGAGAAAAAACAAAACCGGAGGCGGCAAAACACCTTTATCGTTGGCGGCGGAAGTTCTAGAAAAAAAAATAGGTTATAGTTTGGAGATTTGGAGTTAAAATAGAAAAAAAGGTAAAGAGTAAAATAGAATTGTGGAGTAATAAGTTAGGGCATAATTGGAAAGAAAATTAGAAACAATCTATCACACCAAATCGGTTGTTTCAAAAAAGGCGTCTTTTCATTGTTCCAGAACAATGGATTTAACAATACAATACAACTAATTTTATTGAAACAATCGAAACAAACATTATTTTGGGATAACAATACAATAAGATACAATAGGGAACAACCATCCAAACAAGCTGTAAGTTGGAGCACTAATATGGGTACCAAATACCATATGGAAATTAAAAAGGACTTCCACTAACTGCTAGAATGGGGATTGATTTTAACATGAAGTACAATTACAGTATTTGCAAATATTGAATTCAATAAGAGAGAAACCGCGTGTTTTCTATTAAAAATAAATAAATTGAAATGTGATACTCATTGAAATTTGAAACTACGTGATTTAAAATTTTGTTTCTGCCTCATATCAAATTATTGTGCACAAGAACTGTGAAGATTGAGAGATGAGAGAGCTCCGAGCTGCCTCCAATGGAGGTTGTGGAAGCTTCTCGAAGAGAGAGGATAACAGAGAGAAGAGCAGAGTCGGTTAACTGGAATTGATATTAACCAAGACTAAACTAAAAACATTGCTCTCAGTACATATATATACATATTGACTTATTGACTAACTAAGACTAACTAATAATGCTGACTCAGCATTGATACAAATAAATATACAGTAATATTCTCAATACCCCCCCCCCCCTCAAGTTGGAGGTGAAGGAGTCACACCAACTTGCCAAGTACAGAAGAATGTTTGATTCCGGTGAGGGCTTTAGTAAGAACATCGGCAAGTTGTTGCCCAGTCCCAATGTGATGTAGTGAAATGAGACCCTCTTGAAGCTTGGTGTGCACAAAATGGCAATCCACTTCAATATGCTTGGTTCTTTCATGGAATACAGGGTTCCTAGCAATATGTAAAGCAGATAGACTATCACAATGTACATGTATGGGTAGATTTATTGACACAGTAAGTTCTTCAAGCAGCCTGGATAGCCAAACAAGCTCACTAACAACCTTTCTGAGAGCTCTATATTCTGCTTCTGCTGAGGAGAGTGAAATAGTTTCTTGTTTCTTGGACTTCCAACTAATTGGGCTTCCACCTAGGAACACAATGTACCCGAATACTGATCTTCTGGAATCTGGACAAGCTGCCAATCAGAGTCACAATATGCAGTCAGAGAAAGATCACCTTCATTTATGAAACAAAGACCCATAGTGGGATCTCCTTTTAGGTATCTCAACATGTGATAGGCTGCCTTCAAATGGGGCTCCCTAGGGTCTTGCAAGAATTGACTAAGATGCTGAATCCCATAGGCTATGTCCAACCTGGTGTTGGTGAGAAAATTTAACTTGCCAATTAACTTTCTATAGAAAGTAGGATCAGAAAGTGGGGTTCCCTCTTTGGCTTTCAGCTTGATTGTGGGATCAAGAGGAGAAGTCAGGGGTGGACAATGAAGACATTCATAGTCTTTCAATAAGTCTAAAACAAACTTTCTTTGAGAGACAACAATGCCATCTGACTTGTAAAGGATCTCCAGACCCAAGAAGTAATATAGCTGTCCCAAATCCTTGATTTTAAACTTATCATGTAAGAAAACTTTGTGTTGATCAATCTCTTTAGAATCGGTCCCTGCGAGCAACACGTCATCCACATACACTGCTACAAAAACAACAGAGGAGTTCTGTCTTCTGTAAAATAAGGAATAATCATGCACGGAGTGCACATACCCTCTGGAATACAGCACTTCAGTTAGTTTATCATACCACTGCCTACTTGCCTGTTTTAAACCATAAAGTGACTTGTTTAGTTTACACACTAGTTGTGAAGAAGACACTTCAAGACCTGGAGGAGTCTGCATGTAGACCTCCTCATACAAATCTCCATGGAGAAATGCATTATTCACATCTAGTTGTGAAATGTGCCACCTCTTCTTTGCTGCTATGGCAATGAGTGGCCGCACAGTAGTCATCTTGACCACTGGGGAGAAGGTCTCTGTATAATCTACACCAGCTTGCTGAGTGTATCCTTTAACAACCAGTCTTGCATTATACCTCTCAACACTACCATCTGCCCTATGTTTAACTTTATACACCCATCTACACCCAATGGCTTGTTTTCCTTTAGGTAAGGGAACCAAATCCCATGTTTTGTTGGCATACAAAGCATCAAATTCCTATGTCATGGCATTCTGCCAGGCAGGATATACTGCAGCCTCTTCATATGAAGTTGGCTTTCTATCATTGCAAATGTTCTCTACAATATGCTGACTATTAGGATGTAGGGCATCAGAAATGATGTGGTTATTACTAGAAGACATGGCATGTACAGAAAAATTGGCAGTACACTTCAGATTTGGTATTTTATAAACATAATCATTTAGATGAGATGGCAATTTATGCTCCCTATTGGATCTCCTGAAGGTTGGTTGTTCTGCCAGAGGTTGAGGGGATGAGACCAGATCTTGTAGTTGGTCTACTGGAATTTGAAACTCATGACTAGGGGACATAGGGGAGGACACATTAGAGGATGTGTTGGAGTTTGAAGAACTAGTAGTTTCCTGGTTATTGGTATTTTCACTATTGTGATGGTGTAGTTGAACATCAGTAGAATCAGGGGAATTCTCAAAGAATGGTATATTAGGAAGGATAGATGGAATGTTTGATGTAGAGTTAAGAGTGAAGGGGAAAACTGACTCGTAAAATGTAACATCTCTAGAAACATGTATTTTCCTAGTGGCCAGACTTAGTACCTTGTACCCCTTTGTACCAAAAGGATATCCTACAAATACATGTGGACTGGTTCTTGGTTCTAGTTTATCTCTGAATGGTTTTGGTACTGTGGGATAGCATAAGCACCCAAAACTTCTCAAGTGAGAGTAGTTTGGCTTCCTTTTGTATAATAGTTCAAAGGGACATTTGTTCTTTAGAGGAATGGTTGGTAATCTATTAATCAAGTATGTTGCTGTCAGGACACACTCTCCCCAATATTTTAATGGCAATCTGGATTGAAAAAGGAGTGCTCTGGCTACTTCAAGCAGGTATTTATGTTTTCTTTCCACCACCCCATTTTGTTGTGGTGTATAAGGACAAGTTTTCTGGTGGTTAATTCCTTTGGATTGGAAGAAAGTGGCAGCTTCATTGCTGGTAAATTCCAGACCATTATCAGATCTTACACATTTGACAGTTGTCTTGAATTGGTTTTCCACCATGGCTGTAAAGGCCTTTATTATCTGCAAGGCATTGCTTTTGCAACATAGGAGGTGTGTCCAAGTGGACCTACTGTAGTCATCTACCAGGGTTAGAAAATATTTGAAGTTGTTGTGTGTAGATACATGATAAGGCCCCCACAAATCCACATGAAGTATTTCAAAGATTTCAGTAGTTTCTGTCGTTCTTTGGAGAAAAGGAAGTCTGGATTGTCTGGCCATGGGGAAAATATTGCATGTAAAAGGCTGTTTGTCAGAAAAGGTTACAGGTATAGTAGGAATTCCTTTCATTTTACTAAAAGGCACATGGCCAAGTCTGAAATGCCACAAAACATCTAGATTATTGATATGAGATGAACCAGAAAACAAAATAGGGTTACTGTCTTTATTCTTGGTGTTGTGAATGGAATTATTTACAATTGGAAGTGCATTGAAAGACTGAATTAGACAGTGTACACCCCTTACATCACTAGAATGAATGGAAAGACAAGAAGGACTACATTTCTGTTTGGAACTACCTTTCTTCAAGCACCTGGAGCAAAGAAAATATAAACCATCCAGCAACTTACCAATCTCCAGAGGCCTCTTCAGTGAAGGGGCCTGCAGCAGACAGGAAGTGTCTGAGAATGATGCAATACACTTTAAATGAACTGCCAAGGAACTGATGGACACCAAGTTAAATTTGAATGAAGGAATGAATAGAACTTTGTACAGGATGATTTCAGGTGTTAGGAATACACTTCCAATTTCACTTACTCTGACTTTATAGCCATTTGGAAGCTTTACTAATAGAGGATAAGGGAGATTTACTATGTTGTGCAATTGAGATTTATCAAAGGTCATGTGGTGTGATGCCCCGGAATCTAATATCCACAAGTCAGCCTTTGCATTAAAGCATCTACATGATGGGTTGTCAAAATCAATTGAAGAAGTGCAAGCAATCATACCTGCAAAATTCATTGATGCTCCACTAACCATGTTCACACTAGCTGAGCCTTCTCCAATGCTTCCCGTCTGAAAATGTTGCAATAGGCTGACAATCTGTCCATATTGCTCCTTTGTAAGGTTGACATTTTGGTTTTGGCTTTCTCCTTGGGACTCCAGTTTTTCTCCTTCCTCAACACTTGTCACTGCATTTGCTGTGACATTTCTTCCCTTATTGAACCTTGTATTGTTGTTGTACCCTTGCATACCCTGCCTATGTTGTTGTTGTGATCCTTTATTGAAGCTTTGAGGATAGCCATGGAGTTTATAACATTTGTCCTTAGTGTGACCTTGTCGTTTGCAGTAATCACAGAAAGGTCGAGCCCTATTGTTCACATTTTGGTTTCCAGTTCCAGCAGTATAGTTTGTTTTAAAATTCCTTCCTTCCAGGTTTGCATTCAGTGCTGTAGAATCAATATCCAGCTGATTTCTGGGCTTAAATTCCCTCTGTTTTTCTTCTTGTATCAGGAGGGCAAATGCTTGTGCCATATTTGGTAACGGATTCATCATAAGTATACTCCCTCGAACAACTGTATAGATCTCATTAAGTCCCATTAAGAACTGTATGAGTCTCCTATCCTGCTCTGCCTTATGCATGTTCTCCTTCGCTCCACAGGTGCATATGCAACTACAATGAGCCTTAACACTGAGAGTATTCAATTCCTCCCAGAGTTTCTTCATCTTCGTGTAATATCCAGTAATATCAAGTACTCCCTGGCTCAAATCGTTGATTTCCTTCTGAATTTGGTACAATTTGGCCCCATTCGTCTGATCATATCGATCCTGAAGCTCTTTCCACAATTCGACGGAATCATTCACATACTCAACACTGTCAGCTATATCTCTCGATAGAGAATTCAGAATCCACGAGGTGACCATATCATCACATCTTTCCCATTGGCGAAAGAGTGGAGAAGTCACAAGAGGTTTTTGAGTATCTCCAGTAATGAACCCTAACTTATTCTTCACGGAGAGGGCTCTGAGTACACTCCTCCTCCAGGAGCGGTATCCAATTCCATCAAAAGGCATCGGAACTAGACTAGATCCTGGGCTATCGAAAGGATGTATATAAAATGGACTCCCAGCATCAATTGTCGTCTGCATCCTTTTTGTTGCTGTGGTGTTCATCAACTTGATCTGTGACGGCCATGAGGATTTTGTGATAAATCTACGAATGATAGTCAGAGTGTTCTTCGTACAGCTGAAATTTCTTCAATTCGCTAACGAATCGTCACCGAATGTGCTCGATCCAGATTTTCCCCAAATCGTGATTATCAAAAAGTTGTAAGAAACCCTAGACTGCTCGAATCAACTGAAAATAGCAAAGAGATATGATGCGTGGTCGTTGATCGGACCTCCGCTCTGATACCATGTGAAGATTGAGAGATGAGAGAGCTCCGAGCTGCCTCCAATGGAGGTTGTGGAAGCTTCTCGAAGAGAGAGGATAACAGAGAGAAGAGCAGAGTCGGTTAACTGAAATTGATATTAACCAAGACTAAACTAAAAACATTGCTCTCAGTACATATATATACATATTGACTTATTGACTAACTAATACTAACTAATAATGCTGACTCAGCATTGATACAAATAAATATACAGTAATATTCTCAATAAGAACCCTGTCATAACTCTAATCCTATGGAAACACAATTAAACTCTAATTCCATATAGTCATCATCACAGCTCACAAGAAAAATATTGGTAATTAATTATGGTAATCATATAAATATGGCTTGGATTTTTCCTTTTTTGCGTAATGGGATCTCATATCTCTAACCTAAAAAAGATGCTTCCATATCAATATTGGATTGTTCACTAAATAGTAAGAATTTATATTGACTTATTTAGATTGGACCAACTATCATAGTTGGAAATTTAGTTTTAATTACCATAAGATTAAATGTAGGGTTTAAATCAGTTTTGATTCGAACAAATTAACCTTTTGTGTATGCCAAATCGCCCCCCCCCCCCCAAACCCCCCGCCCCCTCCCCAAATCCCCAAAACCAAACCAGCAACACATACATTTAGATGATGATGATGCCTTTGAATTCGTCCCCACTAAATCCTCATTCCATAGGATTCTACCAATGAATGTTGACTTTGCAAATATAAATATAGTTCATCTTCCAATAAATATTGAGGAGTACTATTATTTTAAACCCCCAACCCCCCCAAAAAAAGGAAAAAGAAAAAGCGGTTCACAAAAGTTCACTGGTTGAGACATTGGAGCCAGCGCATAATTTCTTGTTCTGTGTATTTATTTTTCTCCACTTCTATCTCTTCTTTTCTACGTAGTTTTTAATGTTTAAATTATTTACTATTATTATTGTTATTACTATAACCCTCTATGTTTTGGTGGAAGGGATTGGTCGCACAGTTATGGTTAGGTATCATTAGTTGAAGGTTGAAACAAGAAATTATGAGGGGTCATCATAGTTACATTTAACGTGATTTGAGCCGGATTTCGTTATCTTGATTGAGACTATCGAATGGGATATATTATATAATAAAGTCTTCAGAACATTTTCAGTGGTTCACTTGAATATAATTGTCTTTTATGTTAGATCTCTATTCGTCCTCTTAGAGGGTGTTTAGATTGGCTTATTTTAAGTGTTTATTACTCCCTCCGGTTCACAATAAGTGTCCAATTTGCCTTTTCATTTTAGTTCAAAATAAGTGTCCAGTTATGTAATCAAGAAAGAATTCAATTTGTTTTTACAAAATAACCCCTATGTGTATATCCCTAAAAAGTTTTCTTACTCCTCACATTAAATGTTTAATTAGGGGTAGTTTAGTCATAGTAGGTATTTTTATATAGAATTTAGTATTTTCTTAATGGACGTGCTAAAAGCAAATTGGACACTTATTGTGAACCGGAGGAAGTAGCTTTTAAGCACTTTTTTAGTTTGTGTAGTCTTTGGCAATGATAAAAAGTGCTTAAAAGCACTTACTTTAAGACATAAAAAGTACTACAAAAATAAGCCAAAAGTCAAAAGTTGGGTATTACCAACTTATGACTTTTGACTTGTAGCTTAAAAGCGAATCTAAACACCCCTTAATCTTGTTCTTGGAGGCTTGGGCCATTAGGTCCGTGTCATGGAACTCCCTACTCGTCTTAAACTTAATCAAAGTATTGAGTTGTCGTTATATTAGTTGGACTTGAAATAAGTTTGGCTTTTAGTAGTGCTCTTTCTCTCTCAATCCATTTAACTTCTGATTTATTTTATTTTTAAAAAAAATCATTTTTTTAAAGTGGGCATATGGATCCAAGACTAAATGACTCTGTTTGCTAGTAATTAAATGACTACCTCAAGTATAGAATCATTTTCTAGAGTCCAAAACAGTTAGAGGCGTTACACTCCCGTGTCCTCTTTTAGATGTTCTGTTCCCTAGCCAATTTGGAGAGACTCGTTTCCTTTTAAATGCCTCACAACAGCTAGCAAATGGACCAAATCATAAAAGTACTACTCCCACATTTCATTTCATGTGACAATATTTCCTTTTCAATTTGTTCCAAAAGAATGATAATTTTTTAATTTTAAAAATAATTCAGCTTTAAATTTTTATTTTTACCATTAATAATATAGTTTCTAGCCCACTCAAAATTATATGACTTATTTTATACCACAACTTCTTAAACTATGTGTCCATTAATTTTTTTTTTCGAGAAAGCCATTCTCTCATGGACCGAAAATCACTGCAGCAACTGCTAGCAGGATCTATAACCATTCTCAAGATACTAAAAGAAAAGGCAAAGAATCTATTCTTCGGTCCAAAATTTCACCAAAAAGCCACGATTCATGCCTTCAATAATGCCAGGAGTGGATTTGTTTCATGTTCCTTAGATTTTGCTGAAGCACCTTTCCATGTTCCAAGGATGAATTCTGTCAAATTTTGGCCCATAAAATGATATTGAATGAGTCGTAGCTAATTGTTTTGAAGAATTAACCTAATTGTCGCCCACTTAAATAATTAAAATAAAAAATTACTACGGATAAATAATTCACGTATTATATGTGTATAATCTTAAATTTATACCGTTAAAAAAGAAAATAATCAATCCAACTGACTACTTGTGAAAAGATAAACCGTTATCTAATTGTTCTTGTCCCCGTGGAAATGACGCCGAGTGGAGCTTTTTTAACCATTGTTTTTATTTTGATCCCTTTAAAATAATTTCGCGTTAGGATTTTTGAAGCATGCTGGTAAGAATTTAGAAGCACAAAGAATTGTGACGATTACCAGAATTTCATCCGCAATGCGAGAAATTATGATGATTGATTTTATGGTCGATTATACAATAATATAGGAACCGTCAAATTTTTGTGAAAATCACCTTGTAAAATTATGACAACCGTCAGAATTACGAAGAATCACCATAAGACTAGCCCAAGAGTTTTTGACCAACTTGCCAAAATTTTGATTGGAGACTATTCTCGCAGAACTTTTCATACCGAGATTAAAATTTATTCTCTTTCCAATATATTCTCTTTTCTTATTCACAAACTCCGTCGTTCCTTACTCTTCAAAACAAAGTTATTTTTTGTAATATAATTAGCAAACTATTTTTCTCCTTCAAAGAGTGGAAAATATATTCTATTCATCAACTAAACATTGCAAATGTTTAAAAACATATTTACAACCTTGTTATCATTGGTGTCCGTTTTCTGAGATTGATATATATTGAAATGCGGAAAGTATGACATCCAAGTTATATAAAAAGAAATCAATAACTGAGAAATTAAACTTTGACAGAACAAATAGACCACTATTATATTATATGTATTGTACACGGTCAAAATCGGGCTTCCCTAATTTTGTATGGCTAGTCGAAACCGGGGTGGCAGACCAAAGCTCGGCCTCGCATTGTATCGACCCATGATCGGGAGATGGATTGCTAAGCTCGTGAATCAATGACCGATCAAGATCGAGACTAGCCGTGATCGAGATCGAAGGAAGCCTGCTAAGTCGAATAATGGAAAGCCGAGATATCCATGATCAGGCAAGGATATTGTGACGGAAATCTCGGCACGTATCGAGTCCGGACCGATTATTTAGCCAATCATGGGATTTCCTTCCATATTTAGAATTGTACCAGAAGTAGAATTCCTCTACTATATAAAAGGGGTTCTAATCACTTTGTAATCATCATATTCACGCATAACAAAGCAATACATTACATTTTCTCTCTTAAGCTATGTTGTTCAATTCGTACTTTCCATTAAGCATACTCAGTTGGTACGAGGGCGGTCTAGCTCGAGGGCCATAATCATTCATTATATTGGTTTGCTTTATTTTACAGTTAATTTCTAACATTCATTCTCATATTTCTCAGTTTGTGCCAAGTGAAATCACATATCCTTAAAACCACTTATAAGTTTAATTGTTATCCAATTTTAAGGATAAACAGTTTGGCAGCCACCGTGGGGCTAAGGATAATAGTGATTGCCTGGTACAATTTTTGTAACACACACTATTTTACGTTTGTTCTTTAAAGTGTCTTTGATTCCGGGATCAACATGTCAAACTCTGAAGTAGCACCCAAACACACAGACAATGGCCTTGGTCTCCATGGCGAGAACGACAACATAGCCGCCCCAGGAAACAGAGTACCTCTAGTCAACCCCGATGGAGCCCCGGCCGTGGACCCAATCGTCCATATTGCCATTAATGGGATGTTCGACCAGCCGATTAGAACGCACAGGGCAGCGAAGAAGGCGGAATTAGCCTTCGAATGATATTCGAGATGTTGCAGACTCAACAAGCTGCAATAGTACAACTCCAAAATCAAAGCCGTGTACCGAGCAGGATCGAGCTCGAGCCATCGCAAGAAATTGTTCATAAAGCCGAATCGGTGCCAAAGAGATCGAATGGAGGAGAATCGGAGACCAATACTGCTATCGTAAAGATGCTTGAAGAACTGACAAGCAAATCGAGACAGGGGAAAAGAAGATCGAGGAAAACGATAAGAAGGTGGAAACTCATAACTCCAGGGACGACCAAATCCCGAGGGCACCACCGATATTGAAAGGACTTGATTCCAAAAAGTTTGTACAAAAACCTTTCCCCCGAGTGCGGCTCCGAAGCCAATCCCTAAGAA